ATTCCCCATACTGTTTTCTAGACATTTCTTAACCCTTTAACTTCCAAGATCTGATTGTTAATTCTCCCCTATAGCTGCTACACATTTCCTTGCAAATTAGTTATGAGAAGTTGGTGTTCAATCAAGGTAATATCTTGTATCTAATGAGTTTGAGTATTCTCATTACCTGTTTGCTGAATAATATGTAGATACTATAGGGAGAAGTTACATGTTTATCACTTCTGGGGGTTACAGGGTTAAGGCACTGACAAGGAGAATTTGTATAACAATCAAGAGTTTCTTTGTCCCACGCTCACAACAAGACAGAAAACATCTTTCTCTATTTCTTTACCAAGCTAAAAACTTACCATCTCTCTTGTTCTATTTACAAATCAAGAGCTTCTCTTGTTAGTTATGGTTTCCTTTATTTTCCGAGACTTTAACATTTGATTCTGGGACAATATTGGGATCAATATCAGTATCTGGACAACTGCCTACCTACCCCTCCCCTAACCCAACATTAACCCTAACTTGTTATCAATTGACTGTTGAAGGGTTAGGGGAGGGGTAGGTGGGCAGTTGCCCAGATACTGATATTGATTCCATTATTGTAAGGAGAATTTAAATGCTTGTCACTCTTATCAGAGGTCAGAGGGTTGAGAGAACAGCACAAGTATTCTTGACAAATTATCACACAGGAAAGTGAAACAAAACTAATGCAATCCTCAATCACTTTCAAGAGACTCAACTGAAAATCACTCCTCAATTCAAAATTGCCATTTACCTTGCTTCATGACGATACAAAGTGGTTTGTAATGAGGTCACAGTGGTCGTTGTGTGTGTGTTACCATAATGGGGCAAGACCTGCTCTCTGATATAATCCTCAATGAATGTCAGGGACCTAAAACAGGACAGAATGGTCATCAGTTGCTCCTTAACCATGGTCCTTCCTACCCTGTCATTTTGTGTTCAGCTTGGTTGATTTGTACCCAGTCAGTTGAGTTGTTTTGTATCTGAGCCAACAAAAAATGTTTTCCATGTTAACTATGTCTAAAGTAAGAATAATATTCTTATAATGAATAAATGAGAATAAACAAATTTATTATCAATTATTAACAAAGGGAGAAAAAATTTACATTTCCACTAGCTGTTATTGTTAAGAAAATTACAGGATAAAGAATATCTTGAGACTGTTGTTAGTATTTAAAAGGAAAAATTTCCACACAGCCCCATACTATTGTAAAACAAATCTGTTTTCCCAATGACAAATTTTATTGTTCTGGTCATTGTTTTCTCTATCCAAGAACTGAATGCATAATGTAGTACAGGGCTGTGCGGCAATTTTACTATTTAAAATAACACACTACAAATGAACCTTGAACTAGGCAATCATTTATTGTTTTTTTTAAGAAGGTCACAAGTGTAAATAACAGAATTCTGCTTGTGTTTTACTCTTGACTCTACTAACTTATCATAAGTAAGAATCATCATCTGTTCATGCACACGCGCATGAGGACTATTGTAGAAATGAATACTGGGGTGGGTGCAAATCAACAAGTAGTTTGGGTACGAACCAACTTAAACCAGGGTACAAAGCGACTGAAGGAGTATGCCTCCATATCCCCCACCACCACCGCCACCAGATGGGTGATGTCGACGCCGTCAAAATCACTGCCTATGCGGTCAAAAATCTCACTCCTTGGCAGCGAGACAAATTGAGAGCTCTGGGTTTATGATGCAACATGACATATACTGTACGTAATACCATGCCTTCTAAATGGAAAATGATCATTATCTGAGTGTTTTCAGATGCGTGTTCTTGCGCGCATACTGATTAGTGCTGCATACTCATTAGTGCACAATATCATACCTTCCCGATGCTGTGTAGTCACAATAAGTCACTGTAGATGATAAAAAAAAATAAATCTTGTCTCAGGAACTAATAGAGCAATCTCGAATCCAAGTTACATTAGAAATTTACAAATTAGTACGAACGACATACACACCATTTCTTCGCCCGTATGGTCCAGAAAACGTCAAATCTTTTCCAATACAATTTTCTTCAATGTATCTTAAAAGTTTCTCGTTGTTTTCTTTCTTCTTTCGTTGAGATCTATGTCGCAAATTTGATAACTCTTCTCTAGGAATATCGTAGAATTTTCTCGATCCGTGTATCTGAGCCGCCATTTTGAATCAGGCTTTAACCCAGGCTTTTTGAGGCGCTGAAGTTGGAGAAGCTAACCGCTGAACAACCCTCCCTCCCAGTGTTCCACAGTGCGCAGCCGACATTTTCAATCAGGCCACACTGGATGAGCGAGTGATCAATAGATGAAAGTAAGAAAAACACACACCGATCGTGACATGTTATCGACCATTTTTTTTTTAATATTTTCAATTGGTCAAACCTTTCAGCAGTGCTCTTTTTCTCATGCCTTACAGGAATACTCCTTATGAAATAACAGTCTTCAAAAATGGCATTTATTTCCTCTTCATTCCCGTCAACTGAAAAAGTGGCCGAAATGAACTTCCTCCTAATAACCTTACAAATAACTTTAAAAAGGTCACTTTTTCTCAATTAAAAAGAAGAAAATTATAATTTTCAGTTTGATAGGCATACAATAAGCGCAAAATTCTTGGCATTACGTGGCAAAGGCAATGATCACTTGCTGTTATCTACACATTTAAAGGCGTAAATTGGGAAAAATTTAAGATAAGTGATAAATACATAAATAGAACAACCTTCGCAGTAGTTTTAGTGTGATTTTTAAGATATTCAGATGGGCGGCACAAGCGTAAATACCAATCTGCACAAGCTTAATTATAGCGGAGCTCGCAGAGCGTAGCCCCATAATTATACAAAATAGTAATAACCCATCAAGCAGAAAAAATTTGGATATACGACCGTACGACCGTACGACCGACCGTACAAGGTGCTACTTTTAGCATGCACGGCCAACTGTACCACGGGCACTATCTTAAAATCAGTCCTCTACACGGACACGGAGAAGTTGCGAATGAAAATCCATTAATATTATCACGCACTTTATCCATAGTAGGGGCTTTAGTTTTGTTGAAGAGACGTGCGAGAAAAAAAATGCGAACTCCGCTTTTAGGCTTGCCTAAATCTATATATTAGGCAATATACACAGACACCAATACAACAGGAAATTCAGTGCAACCTTGCTAATAGTAGACAAATCACCTGTTTCTATAAAACAAAACATAGATTGATCGGAAAGATCAAGCGATACGCTCCGCCTACAGTACATTTCAAGTGCGAACTGCATTTAACAATGCACTGAATACAAAAGCTCAGCTCACAGCTATATTCATCATTAAAAATTGAGAACGATTTTAATCGCTTTGTTACTTTGATCTAACGAAAAAAATTGCCTCTGGTCTCATGAATTAGTCTTGATCCGTGCGTTGTCATCCCAATTTTACTTTCTTTTGTAAAAAATTCAATTTCAAAAATATTTCTCAGTTATTTCGGTGGGCTTAGTAATTCTTCCTAAATATCAGTTGTTTGTTGTCAAAAGTGTCTCCGCCTGCACGACGTATATTTGCGTTCAAGTTATCGCCGTCTTGAGAGTAATGAAGAGGTTTCTTTCCGAAATACTTAAGAGCGAAGATTAAGAGCTTATATTTGGCTTAAAAGAGTTTATGACGTGTGTTTTGACATAAAAAGCAATAAAAAAAAAAACAATCGCTATGGCAACTTAGCTTATATTTATGCACTGAGCGTCGAACCATCTGAACTAAAAGCTGGCAAGAATCAATGCATTATGTGTCCAATGACAAGCCATGTTCGTTGAAAAACTGAAAAGAACGAGAATTCGCGCGAAAGCCCTAAAGATCATTTCTTGCGCAGATTAGAACGAAAGAATATGTAATTCGCCATTAGTCCCGAATTCGAGAAAATTTAGAGGTAGCAAATCTGAAAAAAAGGTTTGAAACCGAACTTATTACAAACAAAAATTAGGCCGAACGTTCAAATTAAATTTTTATTTTATTTTTATGATGTTGTAACACGTTACATTCAAATTTTATCGGCTTCAGCGAATAACCTAATATTACTCTGTTAGTGGCCAAAGAAGTTTCATGGAGCAATTTTCCAGATTTAGCGGAAAAGAATACCGTAAAAAAAGTTGTTAATCACAACAAGAGGGTTTTCTTGGTTTGTGTACATACTTATAAATGCATTTCTTAACATTCGTTCCACCGCTTCATGTTCCCACTACAAATGAAAATATACCACCCATCAGAAATTTAAATCACGATCATTCAGAACCGCAAACGTTTGCCCCAGCCAAACAAGAGAAAATCATTTAATTCGCAAAAGGAGACTCTTGCAAAAACAAATATTAAACGCGATATCAGGTAAAGAACCTGTGAATTTCAAAACAGAAAGCCTCCAAAGATACATTAAACGCGCTTTCTCAAAATGGATGCTCACTGGTGATCTAACTTTGAACTTAAGCCTTCGGCCTAGAGTTAGCCCTAGCCCTCTGAAAGGTAAATTTCCAGGTCAAATATTTCACCAGCTGAAATAAAACTAACTCGTTTGAGTTAAAAGGTCTATACTAAAAATGCCTTGCTTTGTTTATATTTTTAGCAAAGGAATTAGGAATTTAATAGTTCGAAAGCAGGTGAAGTTTGAGTCCGAAAATAGCATTTGAAAGGAAACGATTGCACCTTTCTGCTCGAAACTTAAATCCAACTATTGCCAAAAATATCTTTCCAAGGTGGTTGCAAACATATTCAGCGCGGCAAATATTTAATTTGATTCAGTTGCACGTTTGAGTCCCGCTTGGCGTTAATTGCTTCGAAGAAAGGCACTAGTTTTTGAGATAAATTATTACTAACGAGACTAAAATCTCTGAGGTTTCAATTGAATTTTTTTTTGTTAAGAAAAGGACGTTACAGGAATTAAATAGCTGCCCGTCTAATGCTTAGCGAAAAACGGAAGCGGTAAAACGCGTTTTAAACGCGATTTTAAGAGCCTTAAGAAATGATTCACGCACTTTTACTGTTATCTCACTATTGTTGGTCTTTCTCAGTGTTCTTAAGTGCTCTTTCAGTTCCGTGAACAAATAGCCATTAATCTACAGAACAAATTTGCTTTAAAAGTGTTCATATATGTAAATTTGCCACCCTTAAAGCTCGTTGACAGCTGAAATTACCGCTCAGAACATAATTCAATGGGCGCATTGACTGTTTAAAACCAACAAATCTTTCTATTAGTTACAGATATTAAAACATACTCGGTACCACGCAAAGGAACACACAGAAAAAGTCAACTTTATGTAGAAATAAATTTTGTTATGTACAAAAACCTCCCGTCGTGAAATGGCGGAGTCGCTACTAATCTCACTGGCCTGAGAAATTTAGCCTCACATATGCAAAACAGAGGAGGAGAAGTAAAGAGAGAATTTACTTTTGCCTTCATCAGTATAAGTGTTTCAAACTTGCAGAGAAATTCTATAACGAATTTAAATGAGTGTTTTTCACTTCAGAAGTCTCGGGGACACTTTTTAGTGACCTTTGAGGCTGCAAAAGCTTTCTCGTTGGGAGGGATTGCGTGTTTGTTGTATCAGCTGTTGGCGGTAAAGTCGGAACTTGAATACTGATTTCTTCTCCAACATTGCCTTCAATGTCTCCACTCATGTTCTCGCTACTATTCCTTTGCTCAAGCTCATTCATAACAGTTAATATTTCTTCTAAGCTGTAAAGACCCTTTTCGGAATCGCTTCTGGAAAGAACCGGCGTGCGCGCTCCCTCTTCACCTTGCGCAGAGATCTTATCGTTGACGCTCGAAAGCCTTCTTCGCAATGGAGATTCTTCTGTGTTCAAAAGCGAGAGAAACTCGCCAAGGTCATACAGAGAAAGGCTCCCGCCGGAATCCTGGCGTGGGAACAGTTGTGTTCTCGAGGAATTTCCCCTGCCATGACTCGGACCGGCTGGTTTTAACGGGCCAGTAGTTTTGGCAGAATTTGATTCCGATTCACTTTCGCTGGATTTAGACGATGCAGATGACACGCTAGATAATCGTCTTCTCAAGGGAGATTCGTCTGCATTTAAAATGCTCAAGAACTCGCGGAGATCGTAAATAGAGCTTCTTTTACGCGATGGATCAGACGCACCGCTAGGTTCTGTACTTGGTACTGGAAGAAAAACATCTTCGTAAAATTCGCTGTCGATGCTTCTGTTGGATTCGTCAGTGACGAGTATACTCACACCGCTTTGCGAAACTCCGGAAAATTTTCGCCTCAACGAAACTGCCGATGAAAGCTGTTGCTGATGAGTTGCCGACGGGTTTTGTTGAGCGGCATAAAGTGAAAGGAACTCTCTAAGATCATACACAGACATGTGCCGACTGTTCTCAGTTACATCCATATTTTTGGGTGCGTCTGTTGATGCTGCTTGATCACTACCGGTCGAGTAGCCACTGTTCTCTATAGTTGGAGTTACGGGAGAGGAACCGACAGTACATTTGGCGGGTAAATTAGTTGATTGCGTAAGTGAAGATTGACCAGTTTTTTCGGCCTCACGTTGAAAATGAAACAGCATCTGGCGTAAATTAGACGCAGACTCATGCCTTTTCTCATTTTCCTGTTGTAACACGCTCAGGATTTCACTTAGGTCATACACTGACCCTCTCGGCTGTTGCAAATCTCTTTTGGCACCTTCTTCAGAATCCGAAATAGTTTTGCTACTATTTGTTTTTTGCTCTTCTTCCCAAGGTGTGACTCGCACAAGCGGTGGTATATCAGATGTCATAGACAGGAATTCTTCCAGATCGTACATAGATAGACTTCGTTTCTCTTTAACCTTTTCGGTACCTGAATCGCTCATTTTGCTTTCTGCTGCGCTAGAGCCTTCCTCGTGAAGAGCTGGGCTGCTAGGACCTGAATCAGGGCGCGAATTACCCCCAGAACGCGGCAGAGATAGAAACTCCATGAGGTCGTAGGTAGACGCTCTCCTGCTTTCCTCACCACTGTTGGCAACTGAGACGGATAGCAAGTTATTTGAGCTAGAGCTGGCATGCGGTGATGATAAAATTCGCGGTGAAGTCGAACGGCTCGAGTTTTCACTAGTGGATCCAGAACCCGTTTCACTGCTATTTCCAAGAGTGAGAAACTCCATTAAGTCGTAAACTGAGCCTTTTCTACTGTCTTTCTCTCTCCCAGGAGGTGCGAGATGCGACGACGAACTCGTCTGTGAGTTATTGGCGCTTAATTTGTTCGTTTGTGTCTTTTTAAGTTGCCCTGCGCTCGAAGCTTCGGCCGCCGCCATCAACAAGAACTCCCTTAAGTCATAAACGGACTCACTGGGTTCCCTTCCGCTTGCATTAGAGGTGGCGCTTGCATTTCGAGACGATGAAGCTGTGTTGGAAGCCTGTCGCTTTAAATCCTCTTTCTGCAGCAAGGTTAATATTTGTTGCAAGTCGTACAATGAATGCCTCTTTTCCTCATTTCTCGGTAGGTCTAACATTTCGACGTTGCATTCTGTCAAAGCATCTCCTCTTTGCAATTTTCTCTCACTCTGAGAGCAGCTCTTTCCTTCAATTTTCAATACATCGACATCGGCATCATAAACTAGATTTTGCTTTTTCAATGAGGGTCTTCTTCTGTCAACAAACTGCTCCGCGTCCGTTATATCGTTTAATGACTTTCGACCTTTTTGCTTGATCTCTGAGTTAGCAGATTCACTGCAAACCGGTGAACTCGGGGTGCTCTGTGGTAAATTTGCAACATCAATCTTCCACCGTTGATTACTGTGATTTCTGCGTTTTCCGCCGTACTCTTTTGCTTTTTCCTCAATCTTAGCATAATTCTGTACTTGAGAGAGCTTTGATCCGTCGATGTCCTGAACCGCGAGCTGTGGACGGCTTGAGGGGTCGGATCGGACAACCGGCATAGAACCTGCTGCGAGAGAAGATAACGAATGCTCGCTGATATTTCCGTCGGCGAGCAGCCGCATATTTTTCTTTCTATTAGATAACTCGGGCGAAGATTTTGCCAGCCTGCGCGATCTCGTCAATTTCTTCGTAGGTTGAAAAGTGCTGCTTCCCCGGCGGGACAAGATTGAATCTTTGTGTGCAGGGAGAAGTTCTCCATTGCCAGTCAATGATAACAAAGCGGAGCTACAACCTAACCGTTGGCAACCTGCCCTCTCTTTTTCGTGTGAAACATTTTCGCTGTCGAAAAAACTTGTTTCGTCTTCATTGGTTTCCTTGACAGCTGCTTCCATAATTAATTTCATTTCATCCTCGCTCTTGTTGTCGTATTTTTTTAGTTTTTTCGAACGTCCTTGGAGTCTCAAGCTCCCCAGTTTGTCTGTTATTTTCATTGGTGATCTTGACATCGCAACTTCGGTCTTTTCGCTTGAAACTGCGGTTGGCGTTTCGTTCCGAAACCTTTGAGCGGTTGATGTGGAGCGAAGTGAATCCAATCGCACGATAGGAGGAAGTCGCACAAGGCCATGTTTATCGCGGACGATCCCCACATTTCTCTTGGAGTCTTCGCCGTCGATTTCAACGGAACCTTCTTGGCTTATTGGTGGAAGCTTCAAGTAAGAATCTCCAAACGCGAAAGCCATAAAGACACCTCCAAGCAACGGTAATTTGAACCGCGAGAATAGCGTTGAAGTTTGTAAACAGTTGTAAACTCGTGCAAAAGCGACACCTTGTTACCGCTACACTGTGTTTCTGTCGAGTATCGACTTGGAATGATATCTAAACAGCAAACATCGCAGGAAATTGCCTATCCATGGCGCGCTTCAGCTAATGATTGATGTTTTGAGACTGGAAACAGAGCAACTGACGGAAGGGGCATTGAAAATGACGTCGACTACAATAACTGAGACTTTTAGTGCATAAATTAGCAGGGGAGCCTATTTTTGGTCTCAATGTTTTTCTTCAGTCGATGGCAGCCGGATGCGAGTTAAATCCACCAATGGGCTGCAAGCCACTGACTCAAAGCGCTTAAATAAATGGAGTTCACTTGAACCATTAAGATCACTTTTACGTCAAAAACGACGAAAAATATAGTTAGCGCTCAATCGTGACAGATCTGGCTCGATAGATTTTATTTGAACAATTAACCGTAACCCTAAAAGGTTTTTTAACGTAAACTCTGACTTCGCAAGGTGCATCTGAACGAGAAAATATCATTAATTGTTTAATTTCAACAGTAAACTCTGACACCTCCTAAATGAGCCACATTTTAATTAAACCTTTCGTACTCGGGGGAGAAATGCTAAATTATGTCGTAAATGTTAGTCTTACAGTCTTCGCTCGGTAAACAAAATTCAAACAGCAGGTGTTGTCGGTACTAAGTGCGATCGAGTTTCGCAAATTCGCATAGGGCTCAATTGTCCGAGTAACAAACGAACGAGCTGTCTTCCAATTGAATTCAAATACGCATCACTTTTATACTCCATAGAGTTACACTTGGTTATTGTCTGCAAAGTACTTGACTATGTTCTGATCGATCAAGTTTTCGTTCAGACCTTCCAGCTGACTGAAACTCTAAAATCTCAAATTTTTAATGCCACTAAGGAAAACAAGTGAAAATATTAGCCTAGATCTGTGATTGACGTGAAAATTATGCCGAAATGAGAAATTATTTTAAAATGTTAGTCTGAAATTTAATATTGAGTTTCCTCATTTTTGGTAAATTACCGCAGCGATCTTCATAAGAGTTTCGCGATCTTCCTTTTCATTTTACTGAAGTCCCACATTTCTTACTGCTTGCCTATTGTTTGCTTTTTAACATAAATGGCTCCATTACAAAGCGCAGTCCTCGCTAAAAGCAAATTAGTGATTCTCTCCGAAGGAAATTGCGACTTCACAGCTTACTGAAAAATTTGCATAAATTTACGTGGGCGAGAATTACACCACAAATTTTAAGGAAAAAACAGAAAATGGAAAACACTTGAAATCGTTTAGGTTACTGACATTTCTCATTACTACGTCATCAGCTCCAAAAAGAACTGACAAATTTGTCTTTAAGCGAGTGGGAGAAACTTTGTACCAATTTCAGCCACAATGGAAATATTTTTTTCTTTGATGATTGGAAATTCGGCCTCTTTCAAAGAAAGAAACACTGAGTCGCTCATATCGTTCAAGTTTCAGCGTGTAAATATTAGTGTTGTTGCGCAGCAAAACATATTACCATATTCGTTTTTTGAATAAATGGTGTTTTCTATGCAAACATCTTTCTTCCCTTTGGCCTTTAAGCAAGATAACAAAATATTCTGTACATTAAATGGCTTTGGTAAGTTAATTGGCGAAAATTTTCAGAAAGTGCAATTAGATAGAGTACCTTGGGCTCTATCTACGTGTTTGTTTCCTATCCCCTCTATTCTACAATTACATTTTTTCCTTTTAAGCCTAGGCTAAGAGGCATGATCTTTTTTCATTAGTTATTGAAAAACGCCAACTGGTCATCAATTAGTAATCCGATGTCTATGTTGGAGTTTCTCTGAATCTGTATACAGCTTTGCATGACTCCTTAGATATAAATCGAACTGATATGCACTTTTAACCGATCACAATATCCTAAACATGATAACAGGAAAACGATAAAAAAAAAAAAAACCTCTGTGTTTTTTCCTACATCATTCTCGAAAACTCTCGACTATATTTTTTTTCTTCGCAGAACAGAAAACTCAAGGGAGTCAAAATCCGCGTGGTAAATCTCAAGACAAAAGCTCCTGCCTTTCGAACCGGTATGGAAATCAAAGGGCTGGGGTTCTGTCGTATGATTGATTATCACAGCTTCCAATATTCCCGGACAAAATGAATGAGAGTATAAAAAAAAAACAGACAACGATTTAGAAGTCCAGCTCATTTAAAAATCGTAGGCGAGTTGCGTGCATTATTTTTCTGCAGGGGAGCTCCACACGTACGACTTTGTTATCGACAGTTAGGCTGCACGCGGCCTGTGATTGATTTCTGCATATATCCACGAAACGAAGCATTTCGGGAACTTTATAAAAACATCAGCCTCTGTTGGGTGCGTAGATATGCCTACTTCCTTAATTGATTATGGACATTGTTAGAGCTTATAAGATCCGAGAAGAGAACAGTTTTTTGCTAAGCAAAGCTCGAGGAGGATCATGACATGTTGTTCGCTTCAATGATTAGATAATATCCATGAAAAAAGATTTAAATTTATTTTCATGCCAAATGAGGGCCTCTTTCTTGGCCATAATTCAGTCGACTTCAGTAAGAGATTTTTTGGGTGCGCTGGGCGAAACTTCTTGGAAAAGTTGCCCAAAAATAATTTACTCTTTTTGGTGTCGACCGTATAGCACTGGTGTAATTTTATGATCAAAATATGTTTCACTTGATCAATTATTTAGGAAGACTTTCATCGGACCAAAGTCAGGGATAATGCGGCTGAAGTTTATTCGGTCACGAGTCAATTACACGTGAATTTTAAGGCCAGTTTTTCAACTATGGGTGTTGTTATCCGATTTTCCAGAAATCGAAAACGGTTTTTCCCTAACCTTTTTGTTACTTCCCAAAATCGTGCACTTGTTTCGTGCACTTGCGTAAAGACACTGTTTGCAGATGGTGGAACATACAAGTTTACAGATGGCGGAACATAAAAAAAACCAGTTAACAGTGATGTCTTGATTTAATAGGCTTCTCATTTACATACTTTACCTCTGGCCTGCAGAACACGGGTCACCGTTTTCAATAATTTTAATTTATCTTTTGCGCTCTATTTTATTATTATCAAATTTTTTCATCTTTTTCAGATGAGCGCGCGTGCGACCGCGGGAGGAAGAACGCGAAGAGAATGATTCTCGCTTCGCGCGCCTGAAAAAAAAAACATGAAAAAAATTAGTATAGGTAATCACATGATTTCGAGTGCAATTTGGAATAAATAACCACGAGTTAATTTTTTCGAAGACTAACAAAATTGCACGAGCCCGTAGGGCGAGTGTAATTTGTAGTATTTGAAAAAAATTCTCAAGTGCTTATTTATTCCAAAAATCACGAGAAAAATCATGTGATTACGTATTAGGCCCGGTTCATACGTCGCATTTCTGCCGTGTCGAATTCAATTCAACGAATTAAATTCGGCAGAAATTCGACGTCTGAATCGGCTGCCGCATTTCTGCCGCACGTTCGACTAGTCTTGTCGCATTATCCGACAGAAATGCGACACCGATTCAAACGTCGAATTTCTGCCGTGTCGAATTTAATTCATACATTATGTTAATGTATTGAGCATGCGTAGACTGAGGCTAGCTATAAAAAGATGGCGTCACGAAGGGAAGAGACTTCAGATTCAGAAGAAGAAAGCTCTTTTTCTTTGTCTGACAATGAAAATTTGGCCCCGCCGAATAAAAAGAGACGAGGTAGAAAAGCGCAATGGCGAGATTGTCACGTCGCCGACAGGATCGATAAACTTGTGTTGCATTTTGATGAGACAATCAACAATCAACAGCAAAAGTTGAATTATTAGTCTAAGCTTTTCCTGAAGACGATGCAGCATATACTGTTGCATTGTCAGCCTCCTCCTTCGCCTTCCTTCAAAAACTTTTTGAAAAATAAAGAGCCTCCGTTTAGTATCTTCGTCCGCCATATTAGATAGTTACGTAACCTTTGTAACATTTTTCCGCTGACGGACCTGCACCGCAGTATCAATTCAAAGAATTAAATTCGGTAGAAATTCGACGTATGAATCAGCTGTCGCATTTCTGCCGCACTTAATTGAATTGAATTCGACACGGCAGAAGTGCGACGTATGAACCGGGCCTTAGCAATATACGTGACAAAATACGAGATAGTTATAATAAGTGTGCAGAAGCAAAGCGCGCATCAAATGCGACAATAATTTATTCAATCCCTGTAAGTTACATTGTGTTTTCGGTCAAAACAACCCAACACGATCAAAACAACGATAGACAATAATATTTTCACATCTTTAAGGCGCAAAAAAGTTCAAAGTCCGGCTAAACAGTTCAAGGAATTGTTCAGTCTGTGTGCGAATCACTTTCGTTGAAATGGAATCGTCGTTTGCGAGGTTTAATCATGTTTGTTTTTAATTTCGGCGTAGAATCGCTTGAGCAAAGTGTACTTTCGATTTCCTTAGCAATTCCCTTCTCTAAACACCATTTTTCCAAACCGACAACCAAAAAGCAGTGCTTTTTACATCGCTTTCGTTGTTAGAGCTGTTTGTCAGCTGCTGTATCGTTGTTTCGGTGGCGAAAGAAACCCTACTTAAAACGCCAGCCATTGTTTCGCCCGCAAATTTTCAGCGTATCCAAATGTAGCGACATCCGAGGCTCGTATTTGATTGGCTATCTGTGAATTTCTTTAATTATTGACCAATCAAAATATCTGGTTTGTTACTTCTTTGCACTGAATCAACCCTCTTCTGCATTAAAGTACCTGAAAACTGCATTTATCTTAACCAATCAGAACTGAGTAATTAATTATTTTTGCATGTATATTATTAGGCCTGTCGATATCCATATCTAATTTTTTTTCTTGTCGTTGTACTAATCGGACAAACCTCAAATCGTACAAGATTTAGTTTGTAATGATTAAAAATACAAGAGGGAGTGAGCTAATTTTCAAAATTACTCAGGTCTTAAAGTTCACATTCGAAATACTAGAAAAGATTAAACAAAAAGAAAAACAAAAGAGAATGGAATGAAAGTAGATCGCATGATTGTCCGTATTTGGCGATTGATCGTTCCATGCGGCTCTGATTGGCTAATGTTAATTATACGCGGGAAAACTGGGGAACTTGAATCCTCTTTCGGCGCCAAAATTGAATCACTTACCTCACTTCGCCTTCAGATCAAGTTCGTTTGGAATTGTGCAGTAGATATTTCGCTTTTTGGTTACCTTTTTCAACAGAATTTTCTTTGCACTATGGCCGACAACTCAAAGCAAGAGAAGAAAATCAAGAAGCCTTCCTCTTACGTCCTCAAACGAAGTAAGATTTTTGTTTTTCCTTATGCGAACTGCGCTGGTATTGGCCGCCATCTTGTTCATGTACATGTTACTTTAATTGGTCTTTCTCTTTCAGATGGAAAAGAGGAGGAAATCAATCTGAACAAAGTCACTGCCAGGATTAAAAAGCTTGGTTATGAGCTCTCTGATTTTGTCGACACGGTAAGATTACCTTTGCGTGTAAATCAGTGAACGATCCACTAACCGAATTGGACAATGACTTATCTTTTGGCGCCAAAAGGCAAAACGAAATCTACCATTTATCGTTAGATTAATGGCAAATGCGTATGTTTCTTCGATGAAATTACATATTAAGGACTAGTTAAATTCGTGGAACCCCTTGGTATACCATTTTCCTTGACGTCTTCAAGTCAATTTCAAAGATCTTGGCGCGCAATTTACAACTGCCTCTGTACCGTACACTCTTCCGCAACAAAAGCCACGCTGTATAAGCTCGTCAGAAATCCGTACAGTGATCGTAGTTTACATATTTATTCCTATTTCCTCCATTTTTAACATGGATTTACCAATTTGTATCGCGAATGGCGTTGGTACGAAATTTATATTGTTCTCGGAAAAACTCACGATATTCATAATTTGCTATTGGAAACAATTTTAGCCTAAACTGGTTGTGCATTAAGTACTACTGAACATTTGTAGGCACAGTTTGCTAAGATGGGCTACTAGTTTTAAGATTTTTGAAAGGATAGTTGATACGTCATCGAGGATAGCGCGAAATCCAAACCACATGCGTTTCAAAGAAAGTCAAGAAACGCACTGATAATAGATTGTAAGGAATTTCTTCTCTCTAACTATTAGCTTCTGTAAGGCAGTAATTCTTAACTAACTTACTTAATATGTGTGTGCGTGTGTGTGTGTGTACGTGTGCGCGGTCAAAGTTAATTACCATAAGTCCATATTGTAATTCTAATATAAGATTAGTTATTTTAAGTGAGAAAGCCTGACTTGTTATAAGCCTCGTGGTTTCTTTCAGGTTTTCTCGCCATTTATTTTCTGTCATCAATTTTCTTCATTTTTTTTTCCATGTGTAAATGTCGTATATGGCAAATAAATATTGTATTGTATATTGTATTGTATTGTAGAGTGTACTTTTAACTCTACACGTACACTGCTATGGAAAGCTATTGTGCAGTCAGTGCAGTAATGAAACAAATATATGTACTTGGGTTGTTATTAAGCATGTGTGTAAAATTATCATGTATTTATGAGGCACGTCACACTATTAATACTAACGAGAATAAGATAAGAACTTATGTGCTCTAATTGGGAACACTTGACCACAATTAAATATCTAATAAGTAATGAAAATATGAGATATATGTACATGTGTAAGTATTGAAAAATATATAAAATTATCAACGAGTCGTGCATTAAAATCGAGGGTCAGTAGTCCATTAGGCTCGTGAAATAAACCATTTTGATGTGCTTGTGTCCAATGGTTCCGATAGTCGGATAGATTTGTCCAGTTTGGTCCAAATGACAGGGCCTGAAGAACTCGGACTATGTTTGCTATAAGCAACAGTACAAAATCTGGGCACCAAGTTGCAGATTGTCTCTCAGATATTGCAGTAACCATTCAGTTTACCCTCAATCCTTTAACTCCCAAGATCTGATAAAAATTTCTATCCTCAAGTTGCTACACATTTCCTTGTCAATTAGTAGAAAGAATTTGGTGTGAGATCAAGATAACATTTAAACTGACAAGTCTAGTATCTGTTGGATAATGTATGGATATCATGAGAAGAAATTACATGTTTATCACCTCGGAGTTAAGGGTTACAACTTGATTTTCTTTTCCATGATTCAGTTTGAGATTGTCAAGAAGGTAATTGATGGCATCTACCCTGGTGTAGCCACAACTCAGCTGGATATACTTGCAGCTGAGATTGCTGCCTCCATGACAACCATACATCCTGACTATGCTGTCCTTGCAGCCAGGATTGAGGTTTCTAATCTTCACAAAGAAACGAAGAAGATTTTCAGTGGTAGGTGTCTTGTGTCTTACCTCTCTACTCTGCCCTACCTCTTAAACTCACCTTTATTCCTACAAGATCTGGCAAGTACTGTAGTATGGAAACCAAGAAATCTCTTTGACCACAGATTTCCACCTATAATCAATTTTAGTCCCCAAAACAAGTGAAAGAAATTTTAGAAATTGTTTTGCATTCAACCTTATACCCTTACGAGTGAGTAGCCCCTAACTTTTTGTCACAGTATCATCCCTGAATCATACTTAAAGGTCACATTACAAATGGATTCATTTTGCATGGTTGTGCATCCTTCTCTTATTTTCTTGTATTTAATAATTTTTTCCCATAGAGGTAATGACAGATCTCTATAACTATGTCAACCCAAAGAATGGTAAACATTCTCCGCTGATCTCCAAGGAAACTTATGACCTCATAATGGAGAATGCCGATGTAAGTTTATAAACCAAGCACAAGCTTGTTATCTATGTTAGAACACCATTACCCTAATTATTAGAACTGACACCTAGTCCTTCATTAAAGCAAATAGATACCTTTGTTCTGACAAAGGGGGTAGCACTGGGAATGTCAGCTTATGGAACTCTTTACTTTGGCTAATTTACATCTTGAAAGCCAAGTAATCGTGGTTACATAGTTTATATCTGAGATGTTAATTTAATATTTTCTAGAATGCAGCCGGTTTGAGTTATAACAATATGATAAAGAATATTTGTATTGGGGTTATCTGTGACTATTATTAGAACAGTTGGGTGGATTTGAATTTTAGAGAGTTTTGCAACAGATGCGAGAACCTTTTAGACAACCCTGTTTGTTCAAATGATTCACTTTTAGAATATAAGACCTAATTTGTGTAACCTGTGTTATTTAATATCTTTGCCGCCTGTTTGTGAGAATTTGAAGTCATATCAGAGCTCTCCTTGGTTAGATCAATATATTATCAAGGCAATGTTACTTAATAAATATGATAATTTGCCAGTTCATTCACTAATCAGAGTGAAAATAATATTATCAGAGACTGGGCCCAAACGTAGTTGAGTTTTGATTGACACTACACATGGGCACAGTCACGCGTGTTGCTTTTAAGGGAATGTTATTTCATCAGGAAAAGGTGTAAAACAGTTGAAAGAAAACCTGTGATTGTGACTTCAGGGTACTAAACTTTTATTGCCTTAGAGGCATTCCTGAAAATATAAGCAATCTTGTTTTGTTAACCAATATTTAAACCTGAGATTAAAACTAAAATCCTCAATTTTTGCCTCTTTTTTTTCTTTCTCAGAGAATTGACTCGGAGATCATTTATGATCGTGACTACCAATACAACTACTTTGGTGTTAAGGTATGTGTGTGGACTCTTCTTGTCCAAGTGAAGTTAAACCATTCTTTCCTACTCAATCAGGTTTAAAATCTTCAAAATGACTCTTTCCAGACAATGATGAGGTCTTACCTGCTCAAAATCAATGGCAAAGTTGCTGAACGACCACAGCACATGTTGATGAGAGTTGCACTTGGAATTCATCAGACTGACATTGAAGCAGCAATTGAAACATACAAACTGTTATCAGAGAAGTGGTTTACGCATGCATCACCGACCCTGTTCAACGCTGGTACATGTAAACCTCAACTGTCCAGTTGTTTTCTTGTGACCATGACAGATGACAGCATTGATGGTATTTATGACACACTGACACTTTGTGCTAAGATATCCAAGGCTGCAGGTGGAATTGGAATCAACGTGCATAACATCCGGGCTTCTGGAAGCTACATTGCTGGGGTAAGAAATCACCCTGAAGATGGTAAACATATCATTGCTGTTATCAGAGGAGTATTGTGAACTGTTGTTCATGCTTTTTGTCCTGCAATGCATGCTTTCATACAGAGTGGGTTATTAGGAACAATTCTAGCATGGCCAGTAAGTTTTTATCATCAAATTCTAAAGAGCAGGCCTTCTACAGCTCTAGATTCTCATTGTGATGCCTATAATGTGTGGATATGTTTTAAAACTTAGCAGACCTTACTCAGGGTGGGTGCTTATTCAAGGTTGGAAAATTAATAATACAATAAATATAGTACCATTGTTCTGACTGGCCATAGGGATAACTAAATGTGATTTTGACACTGATAAAATACAATGAAAAGCCCTTTTCCGTGCTGTGAAATTATCAAAACTTTTGTTGGAGGGATTTGCCAATATTTATTTCCTTTCTTACTAGACCAATGGAGTCTCAAATGGTCTTGTTCCAATGTTGCGTGTGTACAATGCCACAGCCAGGTATGTAGATCAAGGAGGCAACAAGAGGCCTGGTGCCTTTGCCATATATCTGGAGCCTTGGCACAGCGATGTTTATGATTTCTTGGAACTGAGAAAGAACACTGGCAAAGAGGAGCAGGTAAAAAAAAAATTGGATGATTTTTATAATTAATTTTCTGTTTAGCTCAAAATTATTGTGGAGGTGAACTGAGTTCTCTGTGTGACATTGAGAAATTTCAAGCAGATTTAGGGTTGTTGAAAATTTAATAGATGTACAGTCTTCACTGCGTAGGTGGATGAAAAGGTTGTGTTTCTCTATTGTATTTCATTCAAGGTTACAGTAATGAAATTTATAGAATGATATATCTCAAAAGGAAACAAATGTAGAGGTTTTGGAGTGAACACCTGGACTATATTTCCTTAGGATTAGATTTGAAAATATTATTTTGGGTCTTTAAAGTTAACAACAGGGTTTGTATGGGTCCTGGAAAACCTGAATAGTCCTGGAATTTTATTTTGACATTTTCCAGAACTGGAAAGTCCTGGAAATCTGCTCAACTTCAGCAAGAAAGTTTTCATAATTTACTTTACAAGAAATGTATGTAGACTGTAAGGAGAATTGATTTTGAAATCTTAGGAATGAAAGAGTTTTAGTCCCTGGGATTTGTTTCTGTAAAAGGGTAGGAACCTTATACCAAGATTTTCAAAGAGTCACCCCTAGGAAGGAAAGATGTATTAGGCACTTCATGCTAAATGGTTATCTTTGATTCCCTAGCGTGCTCGTGATCTTTTTTTTGCATTGTGGATCCCTGACTTGTTCATGAGGCGTGTTGAGAAGGATGAGATGTGGTCACTAATGTGTCCTAATGAGTGTCCTGGATTACAGGACTGTTGGGGTGAGAAATTTGAAGAGCTCTATGTCAGGTATGTGTTAGAAGCAGGGTGCACTCATTTTGTATAAAAGATTAGAGTCACTTATCAGCCTGGCAGGTCATTATTTTTGCTGTGTGTCAGTTCATAAAGCATCTGGCCATAAATCAAGAATTTGCCTGGGTGGGAATCCCCTCCTGAAATCCAAAAAAAGGACTCAAATTTAACTAGGGATGATTCTTTTTAAGCAGCCATTGGACACAATCAGTAAAACTCTAATTTGAAATATTAATGGTGGGTTGGAACCATGAGGGTAGCATCAGGAAGGGGCAGAAATGTTGCAAGAAGGAACCATGGCAACTGTGTCACAACCTACCTCCAGGAATACATCAACATAACACTGACAAAGCGCTGTATGGAATGAGTACTAACCAAAAATCTGAAAGGGAGAGAGGAAAGGAGCTGCCACATTGAGCAAAAGCATGTGGCAATTGCCCTGCAAACTCCCTTGGAGCCCAAACCCAAACCATGAAATTTCATAAAAATTGGCACCTTTTAGGAAAGGACCAAACATTCCAAAAGTTGAATGGTTTGGCACCAAATACTATCAGTACAGATCATGTTTATTTCTTCCTTTTAACCCTCTTTGTAAATAGGTATGAGGAACAAGGAAAGTTTCGGAGACAAGTCAAAGCACAGAATCTTTGGCAGGCAATCTGTCAATCACAGATTGAGACAGGCACACCTTACATGCTGTACAAAGATGCATGCAACAGGAAAAGTAATCAGCAGGTACTCAAGTGGGTTGACCCTTTACACCCAAACATCAGTATGCATATTCTCCATACTGTTCTCTATACATTTCCTAGGATGCTGACAAGGAGAATTTGTTTAACAATCAAGAACTTCTTTAGTTTGAGATCAGTTCCATTATTTGCATGATTTTAATGTGTGATTGAGGGGTTATGCAATGAAAAAAATTACAAGCCAGTCACTTTTAGGGATAAAAAGGTTCCTTATTTATTTATTCTTGACTCACGACACTTTGCTCTGACAAAGGGCTAACACTTGAAATGGCAATTTTAAAAGTCTTTTACAGTGGCCAATTTAGTTGTCAACTCAGTCGATGATACTAAACTACCTTGTTATACTCTTCCACTGGTGCAACACCACAGTTTCTTTAGAAACCTACCCCCTTTATTCATTTATCCTTATCTACCTGGTACTAGATATAACTATCAAAATGTACTGATATTGAAAACAAATTGTACCATTTTTTTTTAATCAAACTGCATTTCCTTCCAGAATGTTGGAACAATCAAATGCAGCAATCTGTGCACTGAAATTGTTGAGTACAGCTCTCCAGATGAGGTGAGCTTTTACATTAACATTGAGTAAATCCTTGTTTTGTTCTTTTGTCTCTTGTGTTTGGTCTCAAGTATAAAGAGTCATTCTCATACTGTGTCTTGGGGACTGAAAAAGTTTGGAAATATTTCATGTTCATTACATGAATGGTAAACAAACTTAATCACTTTGGGAGGTCTATTGACAGTTCAAAGTGAAATTACAAACTATTGATCAAAAGGACACTTTCTGCCATAAATTTTTGCCTTGTGAAGAAAATTTAGCAAAAAAAGCATTCTTTGTTCAAACAAAATGTTAATTTGATAGAGCAAAAACTGAAATTTGCTGTATTTTGTTTGTATTACTTTTGCACAATGCTGTACCTCTTGTTTGAAAAAAAAAGTTTTGCTCCAGTGTTCTCTTCAGAAGGCATCAGGAGGCATTCCTATTTGACTGTCATGGAAACTTTGTGATGATTGACACACATCCAAATATGCTTATAACTGCATGAAATGTTATCATTAAAGTGAAGTGATGGCATACTGGTGTGAGTGAATCCTTCAGAAAGAAAGCCTAAATAAATCCTCATAAGAACCTTACATATTATTAAGCAACAAAGTATCTTTCCATTCATCTCTCAGGTTGCTGTCTGTAACTTAGCATCTCTGGCACTTAACAAGTTTGTTGTAACCAATGGAGGGGGCCGACCCACATACAATTTCCAAAAACTTTTTGAGGTTACCCAGGTTAGTACATAGATTAGGAAAATGATCACTGTGTCAATATAAAATAATTTACTCCTTGTTAATTTCCTGTATAAAATTTTTAGGTGGTAACACGCAACTTGAACAAGATTATTGACATCAACTATTACCCAGTGAAGGAGGTTTGTGTTTAAGAGGCATCTTATTTTGTTTCATTCTTTGTTTGTCTGTTTTATATTGATATATATATATATATATATATATATATACAAGGCTGTGCTCTAAGGAAAATTTCAGGGAGCCCTTCGGGCTCCCAAGCGTTTTAGCTTGGGTGCCCAGGCCTAAAAGATGGTCGCCCAAATCAAAATTTCGGGGAGCCCTTTGGGCTCCCAAACATTTCAGCTGAGGTGCCCGGGCCTCCTAGTTGGTCGCCCAAATTAATAAATCAGTCAGTTAATTATTAAAAATGTGTGATACGTAATAACTTGTCACCACACCAAGGACAATGCGGGACTTATAGAGTTTATACCCGTTTCTAAAACAATCACAAAAAAACGTATCTTTTCTTTTTTATACATCGTGTTTTACTGGAAAAACAATCTTAAGTTATGTTTTTGCCTCGCAGACACGGCAGTAAAAAGCCGGCTAAAATATTAAATTAGCATAGAAGAGCGACTCCCGTGTTTATTCAGCGATTTATTAATCGCCGACCGTACTTTACGCCTATCAGAGCAGAAGTAACAACTTCTTTTGAAAAACTAGCTGATGAGCCATCCCAATTTAAAGGAAAAATTTTAATGCTATTGGAAAAGCCGTTAAAATCGAAAACTGTGCAGCTAGTCAAGTTCAAAGTCAAGGATTATGCTACATGTGAATTCACGTGGAACGACCTTTGAACATCAACGCGCGCCCGATGGAACAACATTTTCTTTTAAAAGAACGACTCCCGTGTTCATTTAGCGATTTATTAATCGTCGACCGTACTTTACGCCTGTCAGAGCAGAAGTAACAATTGCTTTTCAAAAACTAACTAATGAGCCATCCTAATTTAAAGGAAAAATTATAACACTATTTGGAAAAGCGGTTAAAATCGAAAACTGTGCAGCTTGTCACGATCAAAGTCGATGATTATGTTACACATAAATTCACGTGGAACGACCTTTGAATATCAACGCGCGCCCAATTGAACAACATTTTTTTTTCTTTTTTTGACTGTAAATCAAGAAACCAACACCAGCCAGTCGCCCGGCCGGGCGACCAAGAAAATATTTTCAGTCGCCCGAGGCCAAATGTTAGTCGCCTCAGGCGACCGGGCGCCGTTAGAGCACAGCCTTGATATATGTATCTCACCTTTTTGTCTATGGGCTGTTATGTTACTCAGAGAGGGTAAGAAATTTTGCTGTGCTCAAATTCTTTTGTTCAGTCTTTTTGGTCATTTTTTTCTCTCACCTTGTAAAATTTGCATTAAGTTTTGTTTAGAGTCAATTTTTGTTACATTTTGTTCTTTTAATCCTTAAACTCCCACATCGAATTTGTAATTCTCCTAACCGTTGGTCATACAATAATTGTAATGTTAGTTCAGAGAATGTAGGATTGGATCAACTAATTATCCCCAAATTGAAATTTTTCTTGATTCTCACCACTTATCTGGTTGATGTTGTATTGATACTGTAAGGAGAAATTCTGCCTTGATCACTCATGAGAGTTAAAGGGTTAATCTAATGCAAATTCCTGCTCCAGATGGTGTATTATTACTTTGCCAACTTTTATTTACATCATTTCCATTAAATTGTGGCATTTACTCACTTAACTTTTTCTTTTTTTTTTTGTTTGAATTTCCAGGCTGAAAAATCCAACAAGAGACACAGGCCCATTGGTATCGGAGTTCAGGTAAAAATAGTGTTTTAATTTTTGGGTGACTCACCACAATTTTCTTAAAGTACAATTCCACCAGAGGCTCACTGTGTGAGTAAAAAAATTTCATTGCTGATTAATTCTTTACTTTTCTTTCAGGGATTGGCTGATGCCTTCATTCTAATGAGATATCCATTTGAAAGTGAAGAGGCCAGAGATATGAACAGGAAAATATTTGAGACAATCTACTATGGGGCTCTGACAGTAAGTGCTTTTCATTTATAGGTTTATGAGGTTATTTTGGACATGCATTGTTTGAGAGTCACAAGGCTAGTCAAAAGAAGCTCTGCAAGGAAAAAACTGAATGTTCCCCAAACCAAACTTTTCTCTTTTGTCTTCTTACTCTGAGTTGGGACTTAAAAACCATGTATTGGTAGTCCAATTGTTAAAGAATAACTACTTTGCTTTCATCTTTAGATTTAGTTGTTTAGCATTCATAAGGAGATGATGAATATCTAATACTTTTTACTCTATTACAGGCTTCCTGCAAACTGGCTAAAGAAAAAGGGACGTATGAGACTTACCAAGGGTCACCTGCAAGCCAAGGGGTAAAGATGTTCTTTAGACTTCATTGCATCTTGTATTAGGTGGTGATAAGAGATTGTTATCAAAAAGTAAAGGTTCACCATATCAAGAGGTGAAAAATAAGGATAATTTTTTAAGTGAATTGTACATCTAATATCAACACCCCAAGTTGCAACCAATTTGGTTGCCATGGCAAGTAAAATTTTGACCAAAGGCACCAATTGGTGACCAAAAGATTTAAAAAAAAAAAACATGAAAACATTTATTGATCCTTGGTAAAATTATCAAAGGGTGACCAAAATTTTTTTTACAGCAACCATTTTACAATTGAAGGTTGCCAAAAGGTGACTTTTTGAGAAATTGAACTTGGCCACCGTGTCAATGTGGAAACATTGACAGAGATGTACCAAAGTAACAAGTCACTACTGAGAATGAAGAGGGATGAAAATTTGTTTAACCCTTTAACTCCCAAGGATCTGATTGTTAAATCTCCCCTCTAGCTGCTACACATTTCCGTGTGTAATAGCTGCAAGAATTTAGTGTTAGATCAAGATAACAACTTTAACCTGATAAGTTTGAGCATTCTCATTACCTGCTTGCTGGTCAATGTATGGATATAATAGGGAGAAGACACATGTTAATCACTTCTGGGAGTCAAAGGGTTAAAAACCCAGAACTTCTTTAGTTGGTCACCATTTTCTTTTTTTCTCAAGACCTTAATATTTGATTCAGGGCTGATACTGCGAGGAGAAATTAGATGCTTATCACTTTTGGGGAATAAAGGATAAAGGCACCCACTCTGACTTCCTTCACTTATTAACCCTCCCACTCCCAAGATTTCATTTGTAATTCTCCTTACTTTGTGCTATACATTTCTGATGATGTTATTTTACGAGAACTTGATATTAGATCAACTCATATTTGCCTAGTTTGTATTTTTCTTTGTTCTCATCTCTTGTCTACCTGGTTTTGTTTTAATATTGTGAGGAGAAATTCTGTCTTGGTCACTCATGGGAGTTAAGGGGTTAACATTTTTAATCTTTTTCACTTCTAAAGAAACTTCAGTATGATCTTTGGAATGTCACTCCATCTGATTTCTGGGATTGGGCAGCTCTCAAGGCAGAAATAAAAAAGTAAGATTTTCATTTTTTTAGTTAATGAAATATGGCTGTCAAAATCCTTTAATTCTTAAAGTTTTGTTGCCTGACTAAGACTATCAGTGTAGCAGTCAAAACACCATGATCAATACATTTGATAGGTAATTTTAGTGTTAACAACTGAGTTGAAAATGTAAATTGACCACTTTTAAGAGTTTAAAGGCTGACATTTTGAGTGCTAACCCTCAGCAACCACTCTGACAAAGGGCTAACACTTGATACGACAGCCTTTAAACTCTCTATGGTGGTCAATTTATGTTTTCAACTCAGTTGTTAACACTTAATTACCTGTTATACTCTCCCACCAACACAGCACTGCAGTTTTTTGACAAACTTACCCCCTTAATGCATTTGATAGCCTGACTCCACACTGGGAGACAAAGTATTTAACATTTCACTTATCTGAAAAACCATAATGAACAACAACATTTTCTATAACAGGGTGTCTGTTAATCATATAATTTGATAAGAACATTCCATTTGACAACTTGATGGATTATTACTTTTTGTTGTTTATTTAGGTATGGATTAAGGAATAGTTTGTTGATTGCACCAATGCCAACAGCTTCCACTGCACAGATCCTTGGCAACAATGAGTCTTTTGAGCCTTACACGAGTAACATCTACACTCGACGCGTTCTCTCAGGAGAGTTTCAGGTACATTCTTGATTGTTGTAGAAAAACAATGATATACACAGTATTCTCCCTTATTTTAAGCATGACAGGTAAAATAAATTTTCAAACCAGTAAAGCAATCCTTTTACAAGATTTCCAAGCAGTTTTAAATGGTACTACAATACTACGGGCGGTAAATGTTACCGGTTACTGCCTGAAAAGGAGAACACTGTATACAGTATTGGTAGTGAAAATAAAGGCTCATTGCAGTTAATGTCTTTTTATCTTGTAGATTGTAAACCATCATCTGTTGAAGGACTTGACTGAAAGAGGACTCTGGAATGAGACTTTGAAGCACAAAATCATAGCTGCAAATGGATCCATTCAGGTATTTGTGAAATGGTACAGGTCATGAACAACCTCCACAAAGAAGATTCCTAACTGACTGACTGATTCCTTAGTACCCAATGACGACAAATGGGCTTTCTTGATCAACAGTTGTTAGGTGTATATTAGGCAGTGGAGGTTGGAGAATTCTCTGGCCAAATTTCAATGCCCTGCGTTTATTTTTTTCAAAGTCTCATGTTACTACATACTTTTTTTCCTGCAACTACATTTCTTATTAAAAACCTTGCATTTGATATGTGCAGTTTTTAAACTGCATATGCAAGCCAAAAACAAAGTCAGATTGTCCACTCATTATTTAATCGATTTACTTATTTTCTTTGGAGTAATCAAAGAATTTTATGACACAAAGTAAAAAGGTGTCCTTTGTTCTTCACTACAGCACATTGATGAGATCCCTGATGACTTAAAGCCTTTGTACAAGACAGTTTGGGAAATTTCTCAGAGAACTCTTGTGGACATGGCAGCAGACAGAGGAGCTTTCATTGACCAGAGCCAGTCCTTCAATGTGTTCTTTGCTGAACCCAGTTATGGCAAGCTAACAAGCATGCATTTTTATGGCTGGAAAAAGGTAAATGTTTTTTTTATGAATGGTGTTGTCACATTAGACATGTGCCATATTAAAGTGATTAGTTTTTGTTCATTTTCCAGAGCATGAATATTTTGTTGAGTTAGTTGAATGATAGATTCTTGTGAGCCTAGCTTCTCTTGATTTCATCAGCATGGAGTGTTGTAACTCCTGGAAGCCTTTTGGATAGAATGCTAATTGAACTGGCTTTCAATGTGTTTTCTTCTAGCAGACTTTGCTTGGTGCATTTAGACGGCTTCTACCTAATCATAGGGGCTCCTAATTGTTAAATAAGGAGCCAGCCATTATTTGTCACCTGGGGGTGGGGGGTGGGGGTTGCATGGATTTTGGGGGGAACAGTTGTCTCCAATATAGTATAGAAAAATGATTGCCAATTAATTGCCAGTGAGGGGGGGAGGATTAAGAGTATATTACAGAGCGGTATAGAGGGATGAGTCAACCCCTTGACAATTTGGCAGTTTTATTTAAATATTCCCTCATGGAGAGAAGCATTCTGAGGGTTGTCTCTTAACTTTTAACTCCCATTAGTGATAAACATGTAACTTCTCATAATATCCATATATTATCCAGCAAACAGGTGATAAGAGAACTCTAGGTTATACAATAGAAGTTGTTCTATCAACCTAACTCAAAATTCTTGTTACCAATTGACATGGAAATGTGTAGCAGCATGAGGGAAGAATTTATATTCAGAGTTAAAGGATTTGAAATAAAAATGGAACACCGCATGATAACATAGCTAGAGTGACTTTAGTAGGTGACTTTAATATGACCCAATGAATAATGGGCTGCTTGTTACATCTTGCAGGGCCTGAAGACTGGAATGTACTACTTGCGTTCACGCCCTGCTGCTAATGCAATCCAGTTTACAGTTGATCAAGAAACCCTCAAGAAGACAGCTAAAACCAAAAAGGAGAACACAGAAGTCTTGGCGTGCTCTCGGGACAATCCTGATTGCTTAAGCTGCAGTGGATAAATGAAAAACTGCTTTGTGCTTCTCACTAACTTAACAAACCACCCCAGATATCCTAGCTTGCATGTACTATGGCAACCTTTTTTTAAAAAATAATGCACTTTCTGATAAATTGCTACAACTGTAGTAAGCAACAATTCTATTTCCTAAAACCTCTCATCATAAGTATATCATAGTTCTACTTTCACCTAGTTGCAATAACATCAAAGAGAAAGTAATTTTAAAAAAAAAGGAAAAAATCCAAATGGGAATTATCAGAATAAAAAATTTCCTTACTTTAAATTACAAGTTAAGTTTATTTAAGTTAACTGAGACAGATCTCCTAGATTTATTCGTTAAATATAGTAATTTCCAGACTCCACCCTATATAAGATGAATGATAAGTATCTGCAAAATCAATTCCTGTGTGGGTTTTTCCTTGTTTACGTTTAGCTTTTTTTCCCATGAAAATGTCTCTGCATTTAGGTGTAGATCAGTAAACCGAAGACCATGTATCTTTGCAAAAGAATATCTTAATAATTTATTTTTCTATTACTGTACAATCAACTGATTTAATGAGCAAAGTGAGGTAAAGTCACAACCGAAAAAAACGACTATTTTTGTGTTGTAATGTATATTAGGAATGGACTGTACTAAAGACACACGCTGACCTTGCAGGCCTACAATGTAATTTAAGTAATTTTTGTGATTGCACAATAATACTCAAACACAGAGTGTACATATCATTGTAACTTTTTTACATGATCATTGTCTTCCCCAAATCTCACCAAAAACCCTGATAGTAAATATTATACCCAGGGAATGTCAAAAATAAACAATTAAAAGCTTTGCATTCTGTTCTTGAAAACTTGAAATTATGTTGTTAAGAACTGAATAATAACTTCTTCCTGACCGAGCGCGAGGGCCGCACTGGGAATTATTGGCCCGATGTCGAGGCAGTGAGGGCCGAGTACAGCGTGGTCCGAGGGCCAATATTCCTCAGTTTGGCTCAAGCAAGTGAGGTTAGTGGGTAGTGTATTAATGGTACTCGGACCAAACTTGGTTATTTTGAATTTTTCGGCTTTCGAGAAAATAAATAAACGGTTTGGGACCATTCCCCGGAAACGGCCCACATGGCAAAATTCTGACCCAGTAAGAAGAAATCGGAGTGTTCGGATTCACCCCGAGATTATCTTGCTATAAATTAATTTTGTGTTACTGAGGCTAGGAGCACTTGTTTCTACTAGAGTCAAACTTTTGGAAACATTTCTCGACCGTTAATACCTTTTCATTCTTGGTTGGTGTCTGTTGCTAGGAAATTAATCCATATCAGTCACTTTTGACATCAAAGTCCACCCGCTAACCGTACCAAAAACAAACAGGATGAGAAGGTTTGTTTCAGTCTCTCTGAAACAAACTTTTCAATTAAGTACTGCGCACGTGCTAAAAGAGAGATATAATGAATCACGTTATTCACACGACCATCTCAAGGTCTCATCTTACACCCAAAGATCCTTTCACAGAAATTCTTCTGATGGTCGTGTGACTTGCATACGATTTTCTAGTGATTAGAATGGGATTTTACAGCAGTGAGGTTTATTCCGACCTTGTATAAGACATTTTAGCTGTTAAAACGTTGCGGTAAGGAGCCACGGTATTTCTTGCAAGAATGAAGTTTCTTTTCGGGTACTTAACCTTCTTGGGACTTACTTTGGCTATCGGAAGTTCTGCCGCTAAAGATTTCCAGACCTGCTACAGCCCAAGTTTTGACGAAGGCATAGAGGAAGTCATGTACGTTTACTTTCTGATGCGCACTTTTTCGTTCTTTCATGCAGTTTAGATGAAAAGAAGCTTACTTTCTTTCAGTTGAAATCAAACTGTTTAACTGAAGCAGTTTAAACGTGCACCTGATTTTGTCCCCTCGATGGTCATCATCTTGACTGTGTTTGGACTTTTTAAACCTTTTGATTACTCATCAAAACGGATACCTTGAAATCGAAACTAAGAGACGAATGCGTAAGGAAGTGGTTGAAAATGGATATACGGGACACTTTAATTTAAGTGCTGATTCTAAAGGGGGAAACGCCTTTAAATATCGCTTTTTGATAACTCAACGGAAAACTGAATAAATTTCAACTCATGAAATTTTCGCGAATCGCTCATTAAGCCGGCAACACACTTGGCAATTTTATGAGTCGATCACCGAAATCGCCAGGTGTACTCGGTGCAGCGATTGCGATATCGCCAATCGCCGCGATCGGCGTATAAAATCTCCAATATCTGGCATACAAGATATCGGCGATTTCGTGTCGGGGACTGGGACTCACATTACGCAATCGTGTAATCTAAGCTTCGACTACAGAAGTATAACAACGTGTCCGGAAACACACCTTCTATAGTTTTCGTAAACCGAACTGTTGTCAGCACTCTTAACCTTGTTTATTAAAACGTATGAATCCACCTCGAGACTTCTCTTGGATACTTTCTGTTGCGGCCAGAGAATTCCAGGAAATTCGTTGGTGATCACATGAGCCGCGATCGGTGAGAAAAAGTCGTCAAGTGCATCAAAGTACGTTACGCGATTTTGAGGGTGTGCACTTCTGGCCACTCAGATTTTTCAAAAATTGGTCACACGCTTCATCCCACCCTTTAGGCAGTTTGCTCGTTCATACGTTGCGTTCCAGTTTTCCCTTCGTGATAGTTTCCCCTCTCTGAATGGTCGTTGCGTGTACTCTAGTCTCGGTCCTACAAACGTCAATCAAAATGGGTTCTGTTTTTTATTTTACCAGCAAGACTCCCCGGCCACATGAGTACCTTACTGCCGATTCAATTCCAAAACAGTGGGATTTGAGAGACATTCCCGGGAAAGGTAACCTGGCCAGTGTGACACGGAATCAACACATTCCCCAATATTGTGGCTCCTGTTGGGCTTTTGGATCAACCAGTTCAATATCAGACAGAATCAACATCCTACGCAAGGGAAAGTGGCCAAGTAACCTCCTGTCAGTCCAGAATGTCATAGATTGCGGTAAGCAAGTTGTGGTCAATATGTGGGCCTAATCTCATACCCAGATCCTACCGTTTAACTGTAATTAAAATGTTGGATCCTCATAACCGCTTGGCCGTGGAAGGTCTGAGTACGCGACTAATTTGGGTCCAAAAGAAATTTGTATGATAACCACATAGCCGTTTATTTTCTGGTCATATTTTATTTTGTTTGTTGATTTGATTTTCACTTTTCGTATCTTTTTGTGCAAGTACATCATTATTATATTATTTTTTTTATTATTTTTTTATAGAACTATGCTGCTTAGACTCAAATGCATGCTTGAAAATTTAGCCAATCAGAATTAAGAAAGTGACACCCCTCGATAGTTAACGACCATTCACTGGAGTGGAGGTGGCTCGTGGTGGATGTTTATCGAGGCGCGAATCTGCCACCGACACTGAGGTGAATAGTTGTTCTAGTATATACTAAAACAGTGGCATAATATAGCTAAAAGATTATTTTAACTCATTTATTCCTGCAACGACTACAACGTTTTCGGGCGCAAATCCTACGTGAGTCGCTCAGAGGTGAATAGCGAAGGATATTCAAAGTATGGGTGGCCAACCAGAGCGCGCCTCATACGCTATCTCGTACCCAGATCTACTCCACTGTTTAAGTGTATACTATGTGGCATTAATATACACCACTCAAGTGAATAGTACTTTTCGCGCGCGCTGATTGGCTCGTTCGGAAGTGAATGGAAAGTATCACTCACCTCCTCTTCCACTCCACTTGTTAGAATAATTTTCTGGTTAGTGTCGCAAAACCAAATCCGAAGTAATCACAACAGCAAATCAAAAGGAATATATCACTTACAGTCAATGAGAACTAAAAAAAAACAAACAAACAAACAAGCAAGCAAACTGATTTAAGTGTGCGAAAACACGAGTGAGAGGCCGTGATTGGTTTACTCGGAATCTGGTTGGTTCACAAAAAGGCATTAGTTTTCTGCATCAATTTCATGGCAAATTAATGAAATTTTCAATTGAGCTTAAAAAGTAATTTGGCATTCCTTTGGTTTTGCTGTACCTCGCTCTGCGATTAGTCCATAAAATTCGCACTATCCTTTCAATCAATGAGATGCAAACTAGCTAAAACAAAACACAACTTGGTCGCCCGCGTTTTCCCGCGCTTTAAGCAGTTTGCTTGTTTTCTTTTGAGTTCTGATTGGCTCTTAAAGGTATTTTCCTTTCTTCTGATTGGTCCATGTCAACAATTTGGCTTTGGCTCTATGGCACCCATAATAGAAAAGTGCTCGAAACCAAAACCGAAACAATTTCGGATTATTTCCACCACTTATTTGACGGTTGCTTTATTAACAATGAATTAAAAAATAATGATACAACAGGGAAAGCTGGCAGCTGCAGAGGTGGTGGTTCACTGAGTGTGTATCGTTACGCTCATGAACATGGTATACCAGATGAAACGTGTAACAATTATCAAGCCAAAGACCAGATATGCACGCCATTCAATCAGTGTGGAACCTGTACCCCTCAAAAATGCTATGCTATAAAAAACTACACCTTGTGGAGAGTCAGTGAATACGGTAAGTGGATGATTTGAAGGTGACCGATAATTAAGCAAATGACCTCACTTTCTATCGGTGTACCGGTGTAATAACCTACGTGGGATGTCGGGAGAACACGAAAAACGTTTGTAAATTACGCGGCTCTGGCAAACGTTTCAAATTAAGATAGAAAGTGCAAACTATTGCTTTTATAAAATAAACTTAAAATGTTTCAATTTCTGTGGGTTAACCAGTTCAATAAACGATAGATTTTGACCAATCAGGGAGGCGCCTGTAATATCTCAGTTTTTTTATAAAGTAATTAACATATTTGATAACTTTTAACGTGATAATAACACATCCTCTCCGTACAAAATTCTCCCAATGCTGTTGTAGGCTTTGTAAGAGGACGTGAGGAGATGAAGGCCGAAATTTACGCTCGGGGCCCTATTTCCTGTGCTATCATGGCGACTAAAACCTTTGAAAATAAGTATCAAGGAGGAATCTACAAAGAATACAATAAATTCCTAAAGTTAAACCACTGTGTGTCAGTCGCTGGCTGGGGTGTTGAAAATGGTACAGAATACTGGATTGTGCGCAATTCCTGGGGCGTGCCCTGGGGAGAGAGAGGCTGGTTTAGAATCGTAACATCCAGTTACCAAGGTGGATGCCGGGGAGACTACAACCTGGGCATCGAAACAGAATGTGCATTCGCCGTTCCGATTGTAGAAGAGTACGACATATAAGAAGATATCACAGTTCTCTTTTTTTTCATTAAATATATTCCAGTCATACATCTGCTTGTTAGGTTGCAAATAAATTCATCTTTGTCATATGAGGAACTCTTCAGTTTCTAGATTCAGGTTTATCGGTGCGCCAGAGTGTATGGCAGTGAAGCTGCGAGCGGCTTGAGAAGGAAGACCATTTTCAATTAGGTGTTTCGCCAATCACTGCTTAGCCAATATGAAACCGCAAGGCGGTATCGCATTAATCTCGTACCCAGATCCTACCGTTTAACTTAAACTAAATTCTTGCGACCACTTCACCGTGGGAGGTCTTAGTACGAGACTAGGTTTGTATTTAAGTAGCCAGAAGAAACAGTAATGAAAGTATCAGACTCTGAAAAAGATTTACATCATGTGTGTTTGGATTTGCGCACTATTGGGAACTTGAATTTTTAGGTTTGTTTGTTATTGACTCTAGGTGATTCCTCGATAATGCAATGCGCATCCTGTATTGCGCATACAAATCACGTAATCAAACTAATAAGGGTGCACGCATTCCAAAATTAACGAATTGTTTTTCAATCAATGGGCGAGGTATACCGGTACGATGGTCTTTTCCTCTTGAACGAGCACAGTGAGTGTTTCGTTTATCAAATAGGCGTTGCCTCTTGTTGATAGATTTACTTAATGACAAGATTCGTGATTGACATAAATTCTATAGATTGATTTAAAAGCGTTAGATTATTATGTTTTAAGTCAGTTTTTCACCGGGATCGAAGTGAGAGAGAAGTTATTTTGTTATCATTTTTTCTGTCTCTAAATCCGCTTACCTGGAGAATCTGCTAACCTGTAAAGTGAGACTGTTGTAACGACCCGCCACAGAAGTAAGTTTACATTGAAGTTTTTTAACTTAGCTGCGAGATTAAGACTTGATTTGCATTTGTTCTGATTGCGAATTATAAATGTATTTCTTTTAGATCGAATAATTATTAAAGCTTGGCTTAATATTATACGGTTTGTGGTGGTCATTTGATCTAACCAGTTCCGAGTAAGGAAACAGTGAGCTATATTTTTTATAGCATAATCCTGGTATACAAATTACCACGAAGGCCGCTGCTCGAGGATACAGCAATCGCTCTGACGAAGGGCTAACGCTCGAAACGTCAGCTTTACAATGGCCAATTTACGTTATCAACTCTGTTGATAATTCTAAACTACCCTGCTATATTCTCCCACCGACGCAGCATCACAGTTTCTTTAGAAACTTACCCCCTTGATACAACTCATGCGCCTGATTTAACAACTCGAGGAACGTTGTGAGTCGATGCTGTTTAAAACTGCGCGATCTTGTTTACAATTTATTTTTCAATACTCTCGAAACGTTTTACCCAACAAGTATTTTTTGAAAACCCTTGCTTCCCGCTATCGCAAAATGTACCGTGAACCGATGAAATGACGTGCGTAGTTAGTACCAGTGCATAGAAGGGGTAAGATTGGCTTAACATACCTATTTAGCAAGCTCGGTGAACTATCTGTTTTCTTGCAGTTTTCAAAACAGACATCATGGTGTAGGAATTATTTAAGGAAAGACTGATTGTTATAGAACTCTTTTTCTCTGAGAAATTACGCTCTAAACAGAATAGGGAAAATCATCCTTAAAAGGGTTTTGATCAAAGGAATAAACAAATCCGGATTGAAATTTAACCTTGGGTGAGCGCTGTTAACAGCTATTGTTTTGGTTATGTGATTGTTGAACTTGTCATCTATTTATGACTCGTGATGCTGTTTACTTTGTATTTACCTGTTGATAATGGGTCTATAAATTCGAAACTTCATCATACTCCCCCTCCCCACCCCGCTCCCCCGGCTTACTCCCCGGGCATTTGAAGATTTGTTTGTTCAAATTCCCGCCTCTGGGGTAAAAACTGTGTTCGAATGCCATACCAAAAATTTTTGCAAAAGGCAAACCTTCAACTTAACTATCTACACATTAACTAAGCTTTAAAACCGAAGCCTCGTAGATCTTTTCTTCTGAATCATTCGCACACGAAAGTGGACTATTTACCTTAAACGCCTCCATGTTGAAAGATGTAACTCTTGTTGTATTCTGCTGGAAAGACTTAGTACTTCTGTATCAAATTTCCCACCCCAGCCAGGCAAGGTTAAAATTCCCCACCCCATGGGCATGGATGACGGTAAAATACCAGTGGGTTGCCGGGGAGGGGGGGGGGATGTAGCCTCGAGTTGATCGGCGCATTATGAAATAAATAATCTCTATTCAGGCACCTGTTGTTAAAGGATATTCTTAGTTCGAACAAGACTACTGGGATTTGACTTAGGGTTGAACTGCTTTTACAATCGAATAAACTTTCAGCATATCCAAAAGTGTGGCTATAACAAGTATGTGATAAAAAATTTAGTACCGCGCGCCACTTTACTGCGTCAATGGAATAGGACTTTTCAATGGGACTTTCTGGATTTTCGGCAATTTTTTTAGCAATTTTCAGACATTTCCAGCATTTTTTCGGCCTCAATCGGGACAAGCCTAGTAGTTGGGGGAAGGGTGTTAGGTTCTGGGCCAGGTTTCATTAAGTTGAAAGTAGTAAAAATTTGATATATAAAGGGAAAACAACTAAATATACTAAAGGCACGTTTTTTTCTTATTCGTGTCAGTCGAAAAATAATATCCGCGCCTACTTATCAGCGGTTATTCTCGCAAAGTAATGCGCACCGAGATCCGAAGTGTTGGAAGGGAAAGATTCAAGATGGACGCCTTGGAGCAGGTATTTGGCAGAAAACGACTGTCGTCCTTAGTGACTTTGTTTGATTGACCCTTTTCTAAATTAAATCCTCACTTATGCTTTTACTCGTAGAATGAGTACGACGTTTTCAGACGAGACCTTTACAGGGTTGCAGTCTCAAAAGAATTTGAGGTAAAGTCTTCCGTGCGTGTCTGGTGCAAATTCGGTTTGAAGTTTTTGTTTCGCGGTATCTAGATGCTTGTCGTTTATTCCATTTGTTTGTTAAGTGTTGCATTTCCAACGCGATAAATTAGGTTGGGTACGCTACTTGAATCCTTTATACCACAGATTTTTTATTGCAATTTCTAATCAAATTCATTATCTTAATTTTAAAATTAGGCCGCTTGTTTATACTGCCGTGTAATAGTACAAGGTAAAACCGACAGGGGAAAGAAATGTAACCGGAGGATGTAGGAGTATTATGCGCTGCAGCGCGTGTTACTTTTCCTTTTTCTAGTGAAAAGTTTTTAAATTGTCTTCACAGTAGTCAACAATTAAGACAGGGTGAAATTAAACCATTTTATTGCTACCAGTCTAAGCTTAAGTGGAGCCGCTGAGATTAATAATGGTATTAGGACCGAGTAGAGTCCAATTCGGTCTGTAATCATATGAGTGCTAAACAAAATCGGATGACCACGAAGTGGGAGTCCAATTTGTTAGTCACAAGTATGATTACAGACAGAATTGGACAACACAAAGAACTGTAACCAATTAATCAAAACTATGACAAAATTTGAGAAAGAAACTAGAAATCAGTTGTACACTTTCTTAAAAAATCAACTGTTAACTTAGCAAAATGTGGGACAACAGCGCACACTCATGACACGTTCTGTCCACTTACATAGGCATGACGTGTTAACCGTCCCTTTAACTGTCCTATTACACTGTCCAATTACAAGCATGATGTGTACTCTGTCCTATTAATGCTCAAATCAGGCTGGTGATGACCAATCACATTCAAGAATTTTTTTATAGTTTTGATTAGCTCAGTTATACTTTAAAAGAAACCATAACTCGAAAAAATGTTTTAAAAAGGGTATTTTTCCATGAAAGTTTCTCTCAACCCTTTTATTTGACCCTCTAGAGTGACCAGCATTGATTTTTTCTGTATATTATCACTCCTGAGTCAAACATTTGCGGTCAGGAGAATGAAGGAAATGATCACCAATTAAAGAGGCCTCTTGATTGTTTATCATATTCTCCTTGTCAGCACTATAGGAAATGTATAGGAATGGTATGGAGAATATGCATACTGTTGGTAAGGTGTGTAAGGTTAAACTTGCTAAACTCTTGTAGATGAGAGTTGCAGTGTAAGGGAAATATAGAACCTCTGTTCTGACTTGGATGTCTTTTTACTATTGTAGCCCAACAGAAGGATTGTCAAAAGCATTGATGAAGATGATGATGATGATGATGTTGAGGACTTTGATGATCTGGAAACATTGCGGCTGGCTGCCTTAAAGAGCCTGGGCACAAAGGTGAGAAAAGGACTGCTAATTTCAAATTTATAGATGCGTTATCAGCTCATCAGCAAACTTCCTGCAAATCTGTTTACTTGTCACATCAAGGACAAACTTGCTCTTTTATTACTGTCCATATAAATGCCTGTTTTTAAGCAAGTTCAGCTTCAAACTGTATGTTATTGACTGAGCAAAACAGACATAAGGTTCTGTAACTTACAATACTTACTGAGAAAAAAAAGGTAATAAGATATTTATTTTATCCCTAAGTTCAATTACAGGGAGAAGATTTCAATTGAAATAAGCTTTTCAATTTAGTGGGCTGTACACGGAAATACGGCTCACTGAATTGACCAATCATAGCTCACATGCTAACTGAGACATATAATGAAATGAATTATTTGCCAGTATAATATTTATTTCCTGGCACAGTCATTCTGCAAGGTAACAGCACTGTCATGTCAATGAGTAGACATACAGAAGTAGTATCACTAGTCTTACTGCATAATAATACATATTAACCCTTTAAACCTTAAAAGTGATTGGTATCTAATTTCTCCTAACGCAGTCTTTCATTAAGAACCTGTGAATAAAAGGAAATGATTACCAACCTAAGAAGCTTTGATTGTTTAACAAGTTATCCTTGTTAGTACCAAATGAATCATATGAAGAAGAGTATGGAGGATTAAGATGTTGATGCTAGGGTGTAAATGGTTAATAGCACATAATAACCTTTGCTAGTACATCATTGTTGCATTAGTACTCGATACACTG